GGAGGGCGCCTGTGAGCCGCCGCCCCAGGCGAAGCCGCCCGCCAAATCTGACGGGTATGTGGGTGTCACAGAGCTGCTTGCGGGCAAGGGTGGCTGCTCCTGCCAAGGCAATGCATCTAACGGGTAACAGGTTTTAAAAACCCCCAAACAAACTAGTTTTTGCATGGTTACTCCCCCTCCTAAGTAGTCACTAACATCCGGATGGGCACTGAGGTGCTGGAGTGTGTGCAGAGAAGGGCAGCGAACCTGGGCAAGGGTCTGGAGCACGAGTCCGATGAGGAGCAGCTGAGGGAGCTGGGGATGTTTAGCTGGAGAAAAGGAGGCTCTGGGGTGTTTTTATCTCTCTCTACAACTGCTTAAAAGGAGGGTGCAGCCGGAGGGGGGGGGGGGTGGACTTTTTTCCTAGGCAGTTAGGGACCAGACACGAGGACTGGGCCTCAGCTGCACCAGGACAGGGTTACATTGGACATTAGGAAGAGATTTTTCACAAGAATGGTGATGAGGTGCTGGAGTGGGCTTCCCGGGAAGGTGGTGGAGTCTCTGTCCCTAGAGATGTTTAAGGAAATACTGGATGTGGTGTTTAGTCTAGTTGACAAGATGATGTTGGACTTGATAATTCAGAGGTCTTTATCAGCCTAATTGATTCTGTGATCTGAGGGTTTACAGTCTGCTCCAAGAAGTGATGATTTACGTTTGGTGTCTTCAGTGACATCTTGTAAGTTCATAATTTACAAAGCACCCCTTCTGTGCTCAGGAATTACATGACATCTTTGTTATTTGCACTTAGTGAGCAGCTGAAAAGGTGGACTTTCCAGTTTCCATGCTTGCCATGTTTCAGCTGTATCCTCTGACATTGTTTCTTTTGCTTCCTTTTCTTACCTCTTGCCTTAAAAATGTAAGAAAAGGCCTTTTGCCAAGAGCTATGCAGACGTGTTGTTTTTTTCAAGTCCCTATTTATATAAAAGGCTGTTACACTTAGCATCTTTAGTGAAAGGGTAGGTTGTAACTCAATAGCTTTAAAACAAGTAGATGTATCAGTGACACTCATTAGAACAAAGATAGTTATCCTGTTTCAGGTTAAAGGTTCAGACTTGTGAGATTCCTAGTTCTGAGTCTTTGTCATGTAAAAGTAGGTCTTTAAATTTTGTTTGTTTGCATTGTGAATGGATATAGTTTTGGACAGATACTTTTGATGACAGAGGTGAAAGGACAATATGTTGAGGCATGCACACTAAATCCATTCCTGACTTAATACTGTTCAGAGATTTGGATACTCCATGACCATTAGGTTCAGTTTAGGCAAGAGATTCCTTGGCTTAGATATAATCTGACTAAATCCCCTTCTGATCTCATTGACTTCTGTTGTCACCACACTTGCAGCTTAGGTTCACAATGTGTCAAATATTCAGCTGGTAACAGGACTATCGAACCTGGTAGTGTGATTTGACCAGTTTTAACTAATGCATACAAAATCTACTTTGTTGTATGGGTTTTTTTCCCAAATGAAATCATATGTATTTCACTCTCAACTGACTACTACTGCTCATGAAACCACAGCAAACATCCTCATTTTCCCCAGCTTTGATATCCCAAATGACACTTAAGGAATAGGTATCATCTTCTGTCTTCTTACAGATGAATTGTCTCTTTTTCCCTTGCTAAATGATGAGGAGATTAGATTCTGATGTTGCTCATAACCATGGTATTTTCCTTGCAACCCTCTCTAACCCTGTGATATTGAGCTACTTCCTTGATCTGGAAAGTCACTGAAAAGATAAAAGATCCCCCATCTCTTTGTCCAAAGGTGTCTATAGCTGTCTACAAATGATGGCTTCACCTCATGCCAGTATGTAAGAAACTCAGTGTCTTCTCATGCATTTTCTCATTCCAAGACTGTGCACCTCACTAGGTCAAAATTTGCATAAAGCCAGTGCCTTGCACTCCCCTGGGCTCATGATGCCTCTTCTAGAAAATGGTGAGGAATACTGTTATTTATCAATTTGGTGGGTTTGTGCAGTGTCTATAGCTGTTTGCCATGAATTTAACATGAAAAAAAAAACCAACTTTATTCCTTATAATTAGAAGTATTTCAGGAAGTATATATGATCTTAAGCAGATAACCCTCTCTCTGATTTTGGAGACCAAATTGCCAAAAGACAAAATAAGTCCACAATTTTAATGAAGTCCTCTGACATGTTCTAATGTTATGATCAAGTACAAATACATTTATTGGACATTTGCAGCTCATGGACAAGAGCTTTTATCCGTGTTGCTGCTGTGATACATATTCAGTGACCCACGATTACATGGTTTCTTTCTTCCTATTTCACTATTTCCATAGAGTGGACTGCACTATATGTAATCCTTTTTGTTCTTTTTTATCCTTACTTGAAAACATAACATTGTTTTTCTCATAAACACGTTTTTTTTCTGTAAAAGAAACACAGTTGTTCATAAGCTTTTGTCTACCACATATTATATGTTTTCTAAAGATGGGCAGATTATAAAAGTACAGTGAGGGAGCCTTCACTTCAGGAGCAGGGAGTTCTGCTTCCTCAGGCAAACATCTGTGGCAGCTCAGTCCTTCAGATAGAGGCAAGATGTTGCCAATCAGCTAATGATCAGCATTTGGCTGCTTTTGGAGATTTTGATTAAAGCAGAAGTTATCATGCCATATGCAACATTAGACCAAAACAGCAGTGTGTGCATACCATGTTCATACATACATACCTTTTCATGTCTGAGCCCTCCCTGATTTTCACATCAGCTGTTTGAGTGCCAAACCCACCCCTGGTTCCCATTGTTCAGGATCACAGCTCCTGTCTGTGTAACATAAGGAATCTGCAGTGTGCTGTGCTATTTCAGAGCAGTCACCCCCTCATCTCTCATAAGTGTCTGTAACAGATGGTTCAGCAGGAACACTGAGACAGTGATACAGTGGACAGTAATTAGGAAAACTGACGATCAAGGACATCCTGTACAATTCTTGACTGCATTTGACATTTTTCTCAAGCATAAATCATAGAATCATAGATAATGCTGAGCTGGAAGGGGGCCATGAGGATCACTGAGTCCAACTCCTGGCCCTGCACAGGACACCCCAAGAATCACATCATTGCATATGGAATTCATGCAAGCAATACTCAAATGTATTTACAAAATTTAGGTTTTGTTGGAATTCAGAATGTCTGTTCAGCATATATATTTGGTATTTATTTCCATAAGTGTGATAATCCTGACCTCAGACACACAAGAGCAGAAGAAAGAAGGAAGCTAACTTCAGAACCAGAAAGCTCATTTGTCAGTGCCCTACTAGATTTAGCCTTAGCATGGAGGCTGTGTGAATGATGGTCTTTATTTGGGAGAGAATACAAAACAAAACAGATTATGCTTTTGCCATGAGCTACTGCAAAAAAGTATATTCTTTGAAGAACATTTTCTGACCCTTCTTTATGGATATTTTTTAACCTCCAAGGTATCTATCCAAACTTAGAGAACTTGTGAAACATGAAGCAGACAAAAATAAATCTCAGTGCAAAACTATGGGTCCAGCAAAAGTTGCAGTGCCATGTCCAAATGATTTTCTGCAGAAACGTTCCAAGGAGCCCAAGCTAGCACCAAGTAAGTGCAGACAGAAAATATATGCAGTGTAATGTATTTTTTAGAGTAGAGAGTTATATCTTCGTGTCCTACAGTACTATGTTTTGGGCAGCTATTGGGTTGTAAAAACAGAAGTACTGGTTTGTGGGGTCAGTATCGGGACCCCTATTGTTGTTGGAGTCAGTACCTGTATTGTTGTGGGGTCAGTATCAGGACCAGCTGTTGTAGGAATGGGCTTTGTCACTTGTGACATTACACTTACTTACTGCCAAAGAAGAGCATGAACTCAGATGACTTGGATCAAATCATTATTGCTGGTAGTGATAATGAATTAAGGTTATGTCTAGTGGGAAATAGGATGGGAAATAATTATTCTTAATTGCTTACTATAAGTGAGACTATTTAGGATACTACTGAATTTCTGTTGGTGCCTTGGAAAAAAGATTACACTGAAATGGAAGAGAGTCTACATTCTCTGGAGAAAGGATTATTAGAAGTTTTTTACAATGATTAGGAAGCAGCAAGAGCAGGGCTCTTCCCTAAGGAGAGATGTGTCAGATTTGAGGGCAGCCACCATGCAGACTGGGCAAAGACCTCAGCAAGAGAGTGCAGTCCCACCATGTCAGGCAGGCCAGCAGAGCAGGGTGGGAAGCAAAGTCTGTCCTGTCAGTGTGTCCCACTGACCATGTGGCAAAATCAAGTTACAGGCCAGGTCCCTCCCCTGACTCCATGCAGCTCCTCAGGAGCAGGAGTGGGGTCCCTCCCCTGACTCCAT